TTGCCGGGTAGAGGGTATGTAACGGTGTCTCATGGTTGGTTGGTAACACCTCCTCACACACTGAGTATCCGGGGTTCAGTGCCCGGCCAGGTGGGAATGTGGATGTTTCCTTGACAACCTCAGGAGCCTGTCACACCGGGCCGCGGGGCGTTGACCACCGGAACTCACTCCAGTAAACTCCCAGGTCTTCCAGGTAAACACCTGCTGTCCCTGTTCACCTAGCAATAAGTAGTTACCTGGATGTTAGCAGACAGGTGTGGGTGGCTGTTATGCAGGGTTCTGCATGACATTGTAAGGTATATATGGTGGAGAAGTGTGCCATAATAGCATAACTTTATAATGTTATAAATGTGCCATTTGGGGGGGGGGGGGATTATAGGGGGGGGGGGTAACAGTAAAGTACTCTACCTGTAATTATAACAAAATCCTGCTAGGTATTAATTTTCCAACTGTGTTTAGGTACGCAGGGTAAGCGTGGTGGGAGGAGTCACGTGATCAGCATGGCATGGATGGCTGGCGTCGGAGATGCGTGTATTTAAGCCCTAAGTTTGTAGTGTGTACTTCCTTTTGTTTAGCTAACTTAAGCCATAGGCTCTTCTATGGCCTTACCTGTATTCTCACCTAGGCTCTGACATGGTCAGGTTCAGTGGGATGATGGAGGAAATAAGAAATGTGGTTGTGTAATTGGAAGTAGTGAAGGCCTGGCGCTGACTAAGGCCCGAGTGTTAGGGTTACTGGACCGCCAGCCGTCTGCTGCTTGTGCCTGTATGTGGCGTTTAGGATAGGAGATACATGAAAGTGTTTTCTAGAGCGTGTATATAGTGTTATGTTGAATAAATAGATATATTTTCCTAACTAGGATTTTTTGCCTAACCCTCTATTAACCAACCCATTGTAGTACAAATGATGTTTTAGTGCTTTCTGTTTTACATGGGATAGCCCTGGGTGGCTTTTATGCTTGAGATGAGTGTAACTTTTACCTTTGCCCTTAGACAAGGCTCTAGTCCCCAGCTATCCCAACTTTCTGAGTAACAGTGGCATCCTGGGAGACAAGATTGAAGGACCACAATGGAAGTAAGGTCAACAGTCCCCAGTGATGCATAGACTTTCCTGAGTTAACCTGGGTGCTAACCCCTAGATTAAAAATCCCAATAAATCTTATCTTAACAAACTGTTTGTTACATGGCAGCCAACCAGTAATAATAATAGTAATACAGTGTTACCTCAAGTTCGAACAGCTCCCACCTCGAACAATTGTGTAAATATATTTTTGTAAGTGCTTTTGTAAGTGTATTTTTGGGGATCTGAAACGGTCTAATCTAATTTGCTTTATTCCTTATGCGAACAAATTCATTCAGTATCGGCATTCGAACAGCCTTCTGGAATAAATTAGGTTCGTAACTCGAGGTACCACTGTATCTTATTTCTACAAGTGTATGTACAAGGTATACAGACCATAGCTGACATCAGTGACATGCTACTATATAGAAAGCCCCTTGTTATGCAGAGTATTTCCCACAAATTAGGTCACGTTTGTCCCAGGATGTGACCCAGACCAGTCGACTAACACTCAAGCACCCAGAGTGGACCCTCACCTAACGTTGGCATCACATAACGTTAAATCCGCCTAGCGATACATTTTAACGCAAAAATTTTGCCTCGCCTAGCGCTAAAAAACTCGCTCAACGCGATTCGTCCGAGATGCGTCCATGTGCGGCCTGAGCCAGCCTCACTTGTTCCGCCGGTGGCATTGTTTACAAGCCAGGGTGGCCGGTTGCATGCATACATTCGATACATTTTGTATTATTCCATTATTTATAGTGCTTGTAACTGCTAAATAAGTCACCATGGGCCCAAAGAAAGCTTCTAGTGCCAACCCTGTGGTAAAAAAGGTGAAAAATACTATCGTACCACAGTCAGCTGCTGCTGCCACTTAAAAAAAAACTACGGTCAGCTGTTGCTGGACAGCAGCTGTTGCTGGTCAGTCAGCTGTTTGTTGCAATTGGCACCATGGTCAGCTTTGCTGGATCAGTCTGCTGCTGCCTGTACCCATGGTCAGCAGCTGCTGTTACCACGTCAGCTGTTGCTGACCAGTCAGCTGTTGCTGGGATCAGTAGCTGCTTGCTGACCACGGTCAGCTGTTGCTGGACCAGTCAACTGTTGCTGGACAGTCAGCTGCTGCGCACCACAGTCAGCTGTTTTGCTGACCAGTCACTGCTGCTTCAACCACGGTCAGCTGTTTCTGACCATCACTGTTGCTAGATCAGTCAGCTGCTGCTGCTGCACCATGGTCAGCTGTGCGGATCATGTCAAGCTGTGCCGGACCAGTCAGCTGTTGCTGGACCAGTCAGCTGTTTGCTGACCAGTCCAGCTGTTGCTGGACCACCAGCTGTTGCCTTGACCAGCCAGCTGTTGCTGGACCACCAGCTGTAGCTGGACCACGGTCAGCTTCTGCTGCACAGACCACGGTCAGCTGCTGCAGCCACCACGGTCAGCTGCTGCTGCACCACGGTCAGCTGCGTGCTGCCCCCCACCACGGTCAGCTGCTGCTGCACCACGGTCAGCTGCTGCTGCACCACAGTCAGCTGTTGCTGCACCACCATCAGCTGGCTACTCAAAAGATGTGGCGAGTGTGGTTGTTGTTGTGGCTTAACGTTGAAACAATTCCGAGAAAAGATTTAACCCCGGGTTTGGAGAGGTTAGCCACCCAGGATAACCCTAGAAAAAAATACAGTGTCATCAATCGAGGACTGTCTAACTTATTTCCATTGGGTCCCTTTAAATCTTGTCCCCCAGGATGCGACCCCACACAGTCAACTAACACCCAGTGAACAGGAAAAAATGCCTTGAACTAGTGCTCATATTGGTGAATTTATAAGGCCAGCAAAGGTTGGTTTGAGAGATTTCAGAATTGTAGTGGCATACACAGTGCATAAGGCCATGGCAAAGCTGAAAAATTCTTCCCCAAACAAGTGTTCAGTTGTGAGGAAACAACCTGTTTCTGGGAAGAAAATGCCAAACAGGACCTACATTACTTCAGGAGGAAAAGGCACTCCCAGGACACAAGCCTATGAAAGACTGGCTAACTCTCATTGTTTTTTTGTTGTAATGGCTAGTGAGGATTGCAAAGTGAAGTCTTACTGGTGTATCACTCTGAAAATCCCAGTGTTCAAGAAAAAGTCTCATCACTCATCAGTACTCTTCAATAAAGGTAAGTGTCATTTTAACATTTATTTATGTAGTTATTGTGCATGTCTTATTGTTTTCTTTGTAGAGAAATGTATATTTCATGAAAAAAAAAAATTTAATACTTTTGGCTTTCTGGAATGGATTAATTGGATTTCCATTATTTCTTATGGGGAAAATTAACTCGGCTAACGATAATTTCAGCTAACGATGAGCTCTCAGGAACTTATTAATATCGTTAGGCGAGGGTCCACTGTATTTTACTGATAGGTGAACATGGCAGCAGGTGTCTAAAGGAAACACATCCTAATGTATCCAGTCGTACCGGGCATCAATCCCTGGACCTCAGCGTGTGAGCTGAGTGCGCTTCCAACCCAGCTATGAGGCACCTGCATTTTAAGTACAATGTACTCATACCTGTGTACTATGATACAACTGCACTCGAGTTGATGTGAGTAATTATTATGAATACCTTCCAAATACAATGAATATCATTTGTAACAGTCACCATTGTTAGCTAGTTACCTAGGTGGCAGGTTTGATGACATGTTAATTGTAACCAAGACTTATCCAGCAAGCTAATTTCTGTCTTAGGTTAGTGATGCCGATATTTTAACAGAATTTATATATGGGAGAACTTGTGACATCAGTGAGATGGCTGATATTTACTGCTGGGCGAACAGGGGTGGCAGGTGTAAGAAGGCTTACCCATGCTTCAGTGGTATATGGTGTAAGAAGGCTTGCCCATGCTTCAGTGGTATATGGTGTAAGAAGGCTTGCCCATGCTTCAGTGATATTTGGTGTGAGAAGGCTTGCCCATGCTTCAGTGGTATTTGGTATGAAAAGGCTTACCCATGCTCCAGTGGTATTCAGTAAAAGAAAGCTTGCCCATGCTTCTGTTGCACCTTGCCCCTATTGTAGTTGGGTAATGGGTATGTAATAGACTGTACAGATGATCCTCACTTCATGAGGGTTCGACAGTGCAGTAGTGATGCACAGTGGTGGTTTATCTGTGTTTAACCAAATTTTCCCAAGCCCATCATGTCTACTAAATGCCCAAGTGTCTCTCCTGCTTGCGAGGGGCTTGGACTTGCAGGAGGCGCGCATGAGCGTGTTCGATAGGAGTGAATGGAGACGAATGGTATTTGGGACCTGACGATCTGTTGGAGTGTGGAGCAGGTAATATTTATGAAGGGATTCAGGGAAACCGGTTTATTTTGTATATAGCCGGACTTGAGTCCCTGGAAAATTGGAATGTAAGGGGTGGGGGGTGGGGCAATGCCTGCACTCTAAAGAAGGGTTCGGGAATATTAGTCAGATTGGAGGGTAATATGTTTGTGTATTCTTTATATGATATCTCTAAACCTGTTGTGTTCTGAGCACTCGCAAGAAACGTGATTATGTGTGGAATGAGGTGAAAGTGTTTGAATTATGAGGAAAGTATTTTCTTTTTGGTACTGAAAACTATATTCTTTCTTTTTGGGGGTGTCCAAACACCCTGCCAGATAGTTTATGCGAGTCAGAAGATGGCCGACTTGTTGAAAAAAAAAAAAATATTCAACTTGGGTAATTTTCAACCTTATGATGGGTTTGTCGAACGTAACCCCATTGTAAGGGTCAAAGACTACCTTTACAGTAAAAATCTTTTACAATAAGACTGCAACTTAGAAACATGTTGAGAATTTTATGTATTGTATATATGATTATTGTGTATAATATCATTATTATACACAATTCAGCAGCAGGTCCCCCAAATGTGTTCGTAAATTCAAACTTACTGTTTTTACTTTTTAATTTGTTTTTAACAATTACAGCTGTAGTCTGGCAGTACAGTTATCCAAAATCTGGCAGTTGGTCCTCATCATCTCTATGGATCCTGTGCACAACATCTCCGATGCCTTTGACCAAAAGTTATGCATGGTTCCTATTAGAGTCAAGAGGGTTTGACAACCTATATGCTATGGTAAAGTTTGACAGCTATTGTATGGGGAGACTTGCCAGCAATGTCTGATTAAAAGTCACTATGTTCATAGCAAGGATTAATAAATCCTGAATCACTTTGAAGTATTAATGTATACTTTTAAAATTGTACCATTGTTCATTAATCTACCTCTTGTTTTGTACATTTAAGAATGCCTGCTTAACCTGCATCTAGTTCTTAAGTACTCTTTAAACATTAAGGTTACTGTATTATACAGTATGAAGGACCTCCCTCTTCCCTTCCCTCCCATTCTGACTGGCTAAATTTTGAAAAAAAGGATAAATGATATCCATGGTATAAATTACTATATTGACATGGAGATGGGAAGTACATTGCCTGCACTCTGAAGGAGGGGTGTTAATGTTGCAGTTTAAAAAACAGTAGTGTAAAGCACCCTTCTGGCAAGACAGTGATGGAATGAATGATGGTGAAAGTTTTTCTTTTTCGGGCCACCCTGCCTTGGTGGGAATCGGCCAGTGTGATAATAAAAAAAAAATAATTTATACAGAAAGGGGTTATTAGCCCCTTGCTCCTGGCATTTCAGTCACCTCTTACAGCACACATGGCTTATGGAGGAAGGATAATATGTTGAATTATGCCCTAAAATGTTGATTGTATTTCAGGCTGGTCAGGATATGACTTGAGTGCTGGGGTTTTGACAACTGCTTCAGACTGGAACACCAGACACTGCGTCTAATCTCGTTTTCCCCCCTCGATAAATTGAAAACTCATTAGGGAATTATGGAGAAGCAACCAGATCAGTCCCTCATAAACCAGGTAACTTGCTTACAAAATATTCCATTTTGGTTCTTATTTGTTTTTTGTTTATTAACGGCTTTCACTGTCAAGACCCCCCCCCCTATACTAAACTTCTTCTCAGTGTCGAAGAATTTAAAAAAAAAAAATTAATTTTCTCCTATGAATGGTTAGAATCTTTTTTCCAATGGTAATAACCAAAAGTATGAAATTTGATGGAAAACTGACGGATAATTACGCTCTCTTACAGCGAAATTAGCTGGTTTCGGCATTATATATGCATTGGCGATTTTGCTCTCACTTTGAGCCCTATTTTGGGCCAATTCCATTGTACCAGTTGAACCAAACTCATAGGCTGATATACTAGAACTACCTTTCTTTCTATCGATTGAGTACAAGAAACTCGCACATTACAGATCTCATTCTACCCATTAAAGTTATCGTAAGTTGGACCAAATTTTCATACACAATTTCGAGGAAGGCCAATTTCAAAATAGGGTCCAGAATTAACAATGCAGACATTCCTAGCGCTAAATAACATTTTCACTTTGTTCTTGTTTCGTCCACATCTCCAGCCCCTTTTATATTATGGGCTTCTTTTAACGTTTTGTTATTTCTATCACATAAACAATATAAGATTACTGTTGGTGCAGACTATGCATTATTATAATAATTGTATAAATAATGTCAATACCCATTTGTGACTGTGTATTAGACACTAGGCCAATTGGACACGTATGAAATAGGCCAAAAATTGAACATTTCTTCTGCTACTTTGCGTCTTCAATTTCAAGGTACTTTTCATCGTGAGACCAATCAAAATCAGCATCCATTTCTGTAATATATCTTCCATTCTATCATATGAAGACCAAGAAAAAGAGAAAAGAGCTGTAAATACCAATACAAAGAAATACATCACAAAGTCACTGTTTTTAATCCAAACAACACAGTCGGAGTTTTTTTTCCTCATTGTGCACTGCGTGCTGCCAGATTTTTATTTTATATTGCGCACACTAACCACTGCAGACCCATTCTTTCAATGTAGGCTACCAGCTTTCTCCCCACAGATTTTAAGAACATAAGAAAAAGGAACACTGTAACAGGCCTACTGACCCATGTGGAGAGGTCCATGTCCCCCACCTCGCTGGGATTAGACCAATAAACCCCCCCCAAAAAAAATTAGCCCAATGACCCACCCAGTCTGGTCACCTCCACTCAAGGAAGGAGCACTGCACCAGACCCAGCAGCACAAGCAAGTCAGGTCCAACTCACACCCACCCCCATACCCACTCATGTTATTTTATCAAACCTATTTTTTTAAACTACACAATGTTTTAGCCTCAAAACTGTACTCGGGAGTTTGTTCCACTCTCCACAACTCCCTATTACCAAACCAGTGCTTTCCAATATCCTTCCTTCTGAGTCTTGAATTTTCCAACTTGAAAACCATTGCTGCGAGTTCAGTCTTGGCTGGAATTTTCAGGTCACGCTATTTACATCCCCTTTATTTATTCCTGTTTTCCCATTATACCCTGATTATATCATCCCTAATTCTACGCCTTTCGAGAGAGTTGCAGATTCAGGGGCCCTCAGTCCTATCCTCAGAGGGAAGATTTCTGATACATGGGATCATCTTTGTCATCCCCCTCTTCTGTATATTGTTTCCAAAGCATTTACAAACCATTCTGTAAACGGTGACCAGAACTGAGCAGCATAGTCTAAATGAGGGCCTAACCAGGATAATAGAGTTGAAGAACAACCTGAGGGACTTCTATTATTTTTTAGTACTTCTAATATAAACTAAGAATTCTGTTAGCTTTATGCGAACACTATCACTGTTTCTTGGTTTTAGATTACTGCTAACCAGAACTCCAAAATCCTTTTCCCGCAATCAGTAGTAATTAAGATCTACATTATTTTAAGTTTATATGTGCATGTTATTTAACTGTCCACCATTTAGAACTTTGCATTTGTCAATATTAAACTGCATCTGCCACTTCTCCGACCATTGCCATCAGTCTATTCAAATCATCCTGGAGTGCTCTAGTGTCCTCATTAGAATGAATTGGACGGCCTATTTTGGTGTCATCAGCAAATTTACTTATGTCGCTATTTATTCCCACATCTATGTCGCTTATGTAAATTGTGAACAACTACGGCCCAACACTGGACCCCTGAGGAACACCCGCTTGTGACGTGCCCCCATTCTGATTTTTCTCCCCATTTATGGCAACGTCTCTGCTGTCTATTTGTCAGTCCATGCCTCTACCCATGAAAAAATTTCTCCTATTTCGTGTGCCGGTTAATTTTCACAATGCCTCTGGTGTGGAACTCTATCGAAAGCCTTACTGAAGATCATATACACAATATCATAAGTTCATTAACCATGATCTACCTCCTCAAACACACTTAGTGAAAAAGTTAGTAAATATTACATACCGACACTGGCTCTCAAACCGGTAATACTACGGGCCAACACGAAAGGTTAAACCAAAAACATTGTTGGAGTTTTTTTTTCTCATGCACTGAGAGCTAGCAGTTTTTTTTTATACTGTGGGCATACCTGACCACTCACGCACCCATACTCTCAAATTGTAAGCCTACCAGCATTCCTACTGCAAGATTGGAAGCCGGCTAGAATTTTGCGTACATTCAGGACTACAGTAAAAGGGTTAAACACCTCAGCTGCTTCCACCCATGGCAGGGTGACCCCTAAATAGAAGAAACACTTTTCATCATCATTCACTTCCATCACAGTCTCTCCAGAGGCATGCCTCTCTGCATTATAAAACTGAACTTATATCAACACCCCCTCCAGGCAGGCACTGTACTTCCTGCCTCCAGAAGTCCAGTCAGTCAGTTTCCGGCCTGAATCCCTTCATAAATGTACCTGCTCACACTCCAGCATGCACATCAAAAAATATTCTTATGCCTGGAAAATATTCTTTGTAGCTCTAGGCCTTTTGTGTTGTAAGCAACACATCCCATAAGGAGCTTGCAATGGTGGTAGAAATAGAGTAGGAAATCAAAGCAGGTTCATCAGGGGAATGACTTTCTTGTTCTCTTTGAACTCAGTGGCTGTCCTTCGGGAAACCCGAAGATGAAAACCAAATTCACAAACCCATCCTTTCCCAGAAGTGGTGCTGAAGAAAGGGCTCTTGATTCTGAGGAATTAGAGCACCCTTCCTTGCTTTAATTAAAACTAATAATCTTGCTGTCTAAGACCAATATTTAATCCATTGTTTTTCTTAGATTCCTGAGGTAGATGAGAGTCCCTGCACTCTGAAGGAGGGTTGGGGGGGATGTTATAGCATGGTAGGCAATCTGATTGTAATGTCAGCACACTATCTGAGAGACCAGCTTATTGAAAGAGTGATGGTGAAAATGTTTTCTTTGGATCACCCACCTTGGTAGTACAGTATGGCCCCCACTTATACGGCGGGTTAGGTTCCAGGCTGTCGCCAGAAAGACAGACATCGCCAGAAGGGCAGAACGCCATTTTTTTTCATTTATAAATGCATAAAATACCAGACAACAAGTTTAGCACTAAAATTATGATTTAAGTTATAATAGAACAGGCATAAAAACACACAAAGTAAAATACCATTCCACAGTAAATTCATTACTTATCTTAAAGTAATTTGTAATCTAATGTAGGGAAGAGAGGTGAGTAGTACTTATTGTAGAAGTCAGGTGTAGGTAGTCCAGGTGTAGGTACCCAGGTGTAGGTAGCCCAGGTTTAGGTAGCCCGGTGTAGGTAGCCAGGTGTAAGGTAGCCTGTGCAGGGTAGCCCAGGTGTAGGTAGCCCAGTGTAGGTGTAGCCCTGGCACCCCGTCTCATTACTTAATATACGATATTTTAAAAACTCCCAGAGAGGTAAGATACACATACAGTACAACTCAATTAATTTACCTAAAATATGTGTCCGTCTTAGTATAGGAAGAAGGTGAGTAGTATTTATTTTAGGATGTCAGTGTAGGTAGCCGGTAGTGTACCCACCCTGGGCTACACCTACCGCTACCTACACTGTGGCCCAGAGCCATATTATTATCATCGACATGCCTTGTTCATGAATTTAAATAATTTCAATCAACTACCCTTTAGATGTAGTCAAAAACGAAGGTAGAAAGTAATGAATAATTCATGCCGAAAATTGTAAACAAAAACGGAGTGAGGGAGTGGGCCTGGGCCAAACAGAATTCATAAACTTTTCTCTAATGGCTGAGGCGAGAGAAAATGTAATTTGTCCCTCCACCTGCTAACCACACGAGCCTCCAACTTGTTGAAAAAAAACAAAAAAAAAAAAAAAGCACATAAAATGTGCAATAAAATGCAGACAACAAATTTACACTAACTTTATATGTAAGTTAGCAATAGAAATAGGGCATTTAAAAACACAAAAAAGGTAAGATGCACACAGAGTACACTTATTACTTAACTTAAAATATTTAAATTAATGTGTGAGAGGTGAGTGGCAGGGTGTTTATTGATAAAATCAGAATGGCACACCATCATCCTCTAACTTGACACTTAAATCAAGAGACTTATGACTTCTACTTTTTATCACAGCTAACTCTTGACGCCTCGGTCAATGAGGAGCCAACCTAGTTAACAAAAGAGTAACGAGAGAGAAGAACGAGATACCGAGAGTTGAGACAAATGTAAGAACACAA